AACAGCCAAAGCCAAACAGAGAAAAGCATTGTGTTGAGAGGCCTCACCATCAATGCTTATCTACTTAAGCAGTTGTGAACAAATACATAAGGTCACCCATAGCCATAGGTTCGTTCCAGCTACCTGAGGCTTTGCGATTCTGAAGACTGCGCATATGTGATGTCTAGAGTAGTGACGCTTTGCATAAAACACTCAGTTCTATTTTGAGACAGTTACATTAGACCGCTGTTTTTCTGTCCATCTCTGATGCTTAAATCACACGCAGATGTGTTCACGCATAACAAGGACTATAGAAGCGCCATGCCATAACATCAGTTTTGTTTGCCTTAAAATTCAGAAGAGCTCAGTAATCGACCTATGCAACAACTCACGAGAATGACATTTTGGAATCTAACGGCGATTAGAAGGAATGCTCAAATGCTATTACAGAAATATGGGACCGGAGAACCACTCTTACAGCAATTCCTGTGTGTCAAACTCGCACGCGATAGGGTGTTCAGACAAAAGTATGCGAGACTGGAATGGGCACTGTTGGCTTCTTAGCCGTTATCCTCGGGCCATCAGGGCCATCCCATGCTTCCGTCACACGACTTGTTGTACTATTAATTGCAATCGAGCATTCTAACAGAGGTAGAAAACGATCACATTCGCTTCCCATTCTGTGGCTGTCTATCAGTTGTACGAAGTAAGTTATAGTAGGTGGGGTAACTCATAAAATGTCAAATTGAATTCGGAAATGCATTTTTGTTTCGAAAAAGTTTAATTAAGTAGATTTGTAAAACTAGTCAGTCTGCAATATGATTCTAGAATATCTTAGGGTGTCAACTTTTCAATTACCTTACTTCTGGCCGCACGCAAATCTACACTATGTAAAAAATGACTGCTTAATTAGCATGAGTTTTCCTTATCCATTCTTCTGCTCATTCGGTAGAACATTACGTCTTAAAACTCGGAGGCAGAAAATTCAGTTTCGAAAATGTTTCCAATTGTGGGACAATTAAGTACCGTGAAATGGCCGTTTAAAAATCGTCATGTCTCTGTATTTACCAATGTGGCTTATACAGTTAAGAATATGGTTCTTATCCACTGCTAGATTTCATGAACTCTATATGGTCTTCTAATACCGTAGAGAAATTTGTTGTTTTCCGTACGCAAAAATTACATTGCTTGTAGTTTGGAAATCCTGAATGCAAGTGTGACGACAGAGCGGGTTCAAAATGATTCGGAGTTTGGAAAAGTTTTTAAAAACCGAGTGTGACCCTTCCTTTGAGTATAAATTTGAAAGAAGAGGTACTTGTCTACCGAATGCGCAAAAGAAGGAATCTTCTATGCATGTTTTCCATGAAATATAATTAAACATTTAGAACAAAAATGCATGCTCACAAGTAGTCATTTTTTACAGCGTATGGTGTTTGCACGAAACCGGAAGGAAATTCATTTGTAAACGGCATCCTGAGTTAACTGAATTATTATAGAATTGTGTTTCAGACCGATTAGCTTTACAACCCTGCTTGATTAATCTTTTCGAAACGAAAATGAATTTCGGAATTTCGGTTGACATTTTATGACTCAGCCCACCTACTGTATGTTGTAAATGATTGCTATCAGACCTTTGATATATTTTTTGGGTTTTTCGGCGCCAATTTGTTTTTAGATTACAGGCTGGGTAGCAGTTGTTGTCGTATTGTGGCATGAGCTAAATTCTCATGGTCCTGGGAGACAGGCAGATGAAATGCGGTTTATCAACCAAGAAGTTGCTTTGTGTTCTCTGCTAGTAACTGAATCTAATTAGGTAATTTGTGGTAAAGTGGACTACGTCTTTTGAAATCGCTGTGCTTTCGAATAAAACTTTATGTAAATACAGTAAAGATGTACGCTCTCATCGGTTTAACCTTTAGTGATCCCCTATGTGCATTTTAATGTTTGCTTATCTTAAGGGTCGTTGTTCGGCTGCACTGAAAATCATATTGATCAAATTGCTGCCGTAGGCTTATTTGGCCAATTTGACGTCAATCGCATAGTGCTGTATAAGTCATTTATTCATCACTTTTTGCTTCAAATATTGTACAATCACGCCAATATACGTACAGATTTCGGTTTTTTAAAGTACCATTTATTAATTCCTGGATATATTTACGTGCTCCCGTCGTAAATTTAGACAGAACCGGACAGCGGCTTTGCAACGGTGTAGCCACCAGTCTATAATTAGCTTTCCAGAAATAAGGACGTGTTCACTCCAAATATCAAAATAAACTTTTGATTTGTTGTTTGGATATTAAGCACCATGTAAACGATGATTTGAAATATTTACAGTCAAACGATTCAAGTAAAACCACGTCTGTCCGAATAGTAACCCTTTAGTTACTTTGTGTAAAATGGAGTGGGGCGTATTTCCTATCATGGCAAGTGTAACACCTCTTAAATTATCTCACATGATAAAGCAAATTGTGTTTGTTTTCATATGAGCCATGTCTTCCAGACGCGTTTACTGAACGTAAATGTTAAGATACTTGCTGAAGGCAGTTGATAGACAGTAATTTTCCAACTGTCACCTGCACCAGAAGTTACTTCAATAACATCCAACACAAAATTAAAATATTTCAATTAGCAGCCCGATTTCAGAAAAACCACCCGTGATCATGCTGTGCTCTTGAACGGCAGGTGTGCGAATGGGACCTTTGATGTCTAAGTAGTCTTTGGTGTCACTTGAACCTTTGAAGTGAGGCGGCTGAGCTTTGAGTCTGTTGCCCACCGGGTCAGTTTTTTGAGTCTTTGGGCATTTCCAGAGAGTCTTACTTTAGAAGTGCGTCCGGGCGGTCACGTAAAGTGCTTGCAAGATTGCAAATGGGTACGCGTTATGACACGCAAGCAAACATTTTGCACTCTCTCTTTTCATATTTACACTGCGCGTTTTCGCCTATTGCCGATAAAAAGTGGCCAACTTCGGGATATCATTTAAATATTAGGAAAGATCTTCCCTTGAACGGGAATTTCATCGGAAAGGCGGTGAAAAACGAAACGTATTTCTTCCAAAAAGTATTAACTATTTCCGGTTACATTTCTTGGGATGCCCGTCTTTTCCCACTCCGCGGCCTGGTAGGTTTAGTAAATGACGGCAAATAAGGCAACAAATGGGTATTCAAGTCTCCCTTTGCTTCGAAAGTAACGCTACCACACCAATAATTATAAATATTGAGAATGCACATGTTAGAGGGATTATTAAACAACACACCGTGGGATCGATCCCTAGGGGCCTCAAATTTCGGAGTTAGGCATGACTGACTGACGACTGCCAATAACCGCATAATTACTTATATTTGCCAACAATTCCAATGCTTAGCTCGGTTCATTTATAAATCACTTTTGTGCAAACGTTAGACCGCATTAAATCTAATGTTTCATATGTTCAACACTGAAAATGACTCTTTCATGGTAATCATATTTCTAAACGACAAAGCTATTTTGATTCGTGTAAACAAAGTATTGACTGTGGGCATTATTACTAATCTTTATGGTACCAAGTCGCACAGATTTACTAACTTGTGTTCTGAGAGTCATTAAAGCGTCAGGTTATCTGATACTAACCTTTGTGTCATCGAGGTGATCAGTTAGGTTAGCATGCGACAATAAATCAATTTATGGGTGCTCTGAGCACTTTATTCTAGAACGTTTGAGAGTAAACTACTCATATTTTAATGAAAACCATGATTAGGAACACAGTCAATTTTGTGCATCAGGTATCTGCATACAACATTGCCCGAATATATAAAGACTTGATAATATCTCATATTTGTGAGCGCGTTGTTATATAAAATTTGTTGAGCACATTAACTACACAAGACCAGAATACCCCCTCGAAGATGCATAAGGAGCAAACAAAGTAGATGCGGTTTCAGAAACCTGAAGGAATAATTATTCGATCCCATCATCAGGTTTCATGGGTATGGTCGTATAATGTGTCTATTGGAAACTTGCCTGAAATTTTCAGTTGGATTTTCAGTTTGAAAATATTTATTTTTCAGTTTTGACTTATTGAATTTTATGTCGCATACTGTTAAGACATTCCAATCACATTAGAATGCCGACTTTTTAAAACCGCTTTGCTGATCGTCAGAAATCAGCAGGGAATGTATACGTATCTAATATTAATTATCCATATCAATGTTCGATGGTCTAATACATCATAATGCATTTTAGGAACAAAACAGACAAGAATGTTGATCAGAAGAAGATGCGATCGCTGGAGCAATGGCTTTATTCGCCTGACGTTTCGGATTCTCTCTTTAATCCATCATCAGAGACAGTTGCAGAAAAGGGTGGCTAGTGTACAGGAAGTTGCAGTATTTATAGGATGCAGTCGCCATGCTACCGCATACCTACAGCAATTAACCGTGCTCCCTTCATCAAGGATTGTTCCCCGCTGGTGCGCTAATTGCTTGATGGCCGGCATGCAAGTTGTTAATTGCTGACATCTCATCACCCGTGTTGGATGCTGGCGTGATGATTGCACGGCCGTCTGGCTCACCGGCTTGCGCGCTCCTCGAGTGGTCAATTGCTTTCGCTAGTCTATGCCTCATGACAGAATATGGAGTGGGGATGTCGTTGCACTTGTTGATAGACTGAGGTCCCGTGAACCATGACTCGAGCAACTCGCGGCTCACGCGATTATCCCCTTTCGCGAGAATTTCGGCCTCATCGAACTCGAATGTGTGGCCGGGTCTCGTCGAATGGGCCGCGATCTGAGAGTTGGCGTCATTTCTCTCTACAGCTGCCACAAACTGCCTGATCCAACGTCATCCTGAAACGGCACACTGGTACACAACCTTTCGTCAAAGGAACTGACGAAAGAGCAAGTACAGGTTTTACGGCACGAAGCCTCATTCAACTCAGCTGACGCCAAACCTGTCAACAGGATTGTAGCAGTGGAATCGGTCATTAATCAGACGAAAGCGGCTAGGGAGACGAAGAACCTTATCCGACACCAAGTTTCGTCCCTCCTTATGACTCACAAGCCGCGCGAAACACTCACAAAGGTCGAACGCGATGCACTAAGAGAAGTCAATGCCGACAAGGACATCGTGATTGTGCCCGCGGACAAGGGGCGTTCCACCGTCGTACCGGACAGAAAAGACTACCCTCAGAAGGCTAAAAACCTACTGGATGATCGCCAGTTCTATATCCCATGTGAAACCAACCCCATAAAAACGCTGACACGCGAAATAAATGCAAGACTGTTGGCACTGGAGAACTTGGGTGCAATAACAGCGACCGACCGACGCATGGCGAGTGCCCAAGAAACGGCCTTGGCCCGATTCTATGGTCTCCCAAAGTTGCACAAGGAAGGCGCTCCTCTCCGGCCCATTGTATCGCTCAAAGGCACTCCAACGTACGGACTGGCAAGATGGCTGTTTCGGCGCCTCAAATTTCTGACCGCTGATTCGGACACCACGGTCTGTTCGTCAACGCAATTCCTGGAGAAGCTTAAAGGAGTAAGTCTCTTGCCCAATGCGGTCATGGTACCTTTTGATGTCACGTCCATCTTTACTTCTATCCCTCAGGATCTGGCAATCGAGACCGTCCAGCTACTAATACGAAACAAATACGATGAAACGGAGAATCGTCTCGGACATGCCTAAGTCCTTCAGATCCTAAAGTTCTGTCTTAGGACGTACTTCACGTTTGACGGAACAATCTACGAGCAAGTGAAGGGAACACCAATGGGCTCGCCGATTTCGGGTTTCATCGTCGAGGCGGTGCTACAGCGGTTGGAGTCGCTGGTCTTCCAACACCACAGACCGAAATCCTGGGCTCGGTATGTGGACGATACCTTCGTCGTCATCGAACGGGATCAGGTGCTAACGTTCAAAGAACGTCTCAACAGCGTCTTCGCCGACATACAATTTACGATGGAGGAGGAAAAGAATAACCAGCTGGCATTCCTTTATGTCCTCGTCTGTCGCAAAGATTGTGGTGGCCTAAAGACCAAAGTGTTCAGAAAAGCAACGAACACGATGCAAATTCTGATCTTCAACAGCAACCACCCAATCTGCCACAAACGCAGTTGCGTAAGAACGTTATTTCGGCGTGTTGAGACGCAATGCAGTGAACCGGAAGACAAGGTCCCAACATCTTCGACGGGTTTTCCGAGAAAACTGTTACCCGCGCAACTTCGTCAACCAGTGCCTGCGCAAACGAGACGACCGACAAAATCGCGACGACCCCAAATTCTGGCGAGTGATCCCGTACATCAAGAACGTCTCCGAGGCCGTTAGTCGCCTTCTTGGACCAATTTGATTTGGAGTTGCGCAAAGACCGGAGGCCACCATGAGGCGTCACGTGATGAGACCAAAAGACCCACTGCCACGGCAAGAAACATCTGGAGTCGTTTACCGGATCTGGTGCAGTTGCGAACAAAGCAACTACGTCGGAGAAACTGGAAGACTGCTCCGGACGCGAATCGCCGAACACATGGCAGCTGTAGGGAAAAATGACGCCAACTCTCAGATCGCGGCCCATTCGACGAGACCCGGCCACACATTCGAGTTCGATGAGGCCGAAATTCTCGCGAAAGGGGATAATCGCGTGAGCCGCGAGTTGCTTGAGTCATGGTTCACGGGACCTCAGTCTATCAACAAGTGCAACGACATCCCCACTCCATATTCTGTCATGAGGCATAGACTAGCGAAAGCAATTGACCACTCGAGGAGCGCGCAAGCCGGTGAGCCAGACGGCCGTGCAATCATCACGCCAGCATCCAACACGGGTGATGAGATGTCAGCAATTAACAACTTGCATGCCGGCCATCAAGCAATTAGCGCACCAGCGGGGAACAATCCTTGATGAAGGGAGCACGGTTAATTGCTGTAGGTATGCGGTAGCATGGCGACTGCATCCTATAAATACTGCAACTTCCTGTACACTAGCCACCCTTTTCTGCAACTGTCTCTGATGATGGATTAAAGAGAGAATCCGAAACGTCAGGCGAATAAAGCCATTGCTCCAGCGATCGCTTCTTTTTTCTGATCAACTAGTTCCTGGAACTCGCATCTTCGCTTGTATAGACAAGACAGTGCTTGCTCTAATACATCATAATTTATTTTATGAACAAAACAAAGAAGAAAGTGCTTGCGCACGCAAACATGAGGAAAGCCTTTTTTACGACAGCATGCAGTTAACAGGATCGATTACCGGCGATCGAGTCTTGTGAATTCAAGCCTCACTCCGCCATCTTACCGTACAACTTGGAAGGTTTGCCAAGACATTTATTTGTTACAAGGATTACGTGTCTTATTGTCTTTATTAGTTTGTCTTATCAATCTACTGTCTCCGCCGTCGTTTATGTCCGCCTCAGATATAGAACGGTCTTTTGGTGAGATCTACGAATAAAGACATAAAGGCATAATCATCCTGCCGGCTGACAAAGGCCGTTCCACAGTAGTGCTTGACAAATCCGATTACCAGAAGAAAGCTTTGAGCCTACTGGACGACACACAGTCCAATAAACTTTGTCCAGGCAGTGAGATGAAAAATCTGCTTACTCAAATAAACAAAAGCCTGGCAAAACTAAGAGCAAATGGAGCAATCACAGCTAAAGATTGGTTTCTTATGAAACCCTCTGCCTCTGCCACCGCGCGCTTTTATGGTCTTCCGAAGGTACACAAAACTAACGTACCTCTTAGACTAATCGTCTCCCTACGTGGTACTCATGAATACGGTTTGGCAAAATGGATTTTTTCTCGTCTTAAGTTCCTGGCAGAAGGATCGCCAACAACAGTGGCCTCTGCTAATCAGTTCCTTGAACGTCTAAAACATCCGAAACTAGAGCCAGATGAATCCATGGTATCGTTTGATGTCGTTTTACTCTTTAGCTCCATTCCACAACAACTAGCGATTGACGTTGTGAGACCCTTCCTGGCTGATCGCTACAACGAGAGAGACAATTCCCTGAAGATTGAACATCTCATGGAGCTCTTACGCTATTGCCTAAAAACATATTTCACCTTTGGTGGACAAATATATGAACAAATCAAAGGCGCCCCTATGGGCTCCCCCATATCAGGGCTGATTGCTGAAGTGGTTTTTCAAAGGATAGAACACTTTGTGTTCACTAAGTATCAAGCAAAGTTCTGGGCTCGTTACGTCGATGACACCTTCGCCATTGTCAAATCATCTGACGTGGAGCTCTTAAAGAATTACTGAACTCGTTTGACCAAAATATCCAATTCACGATGGAAGCCGAAACAAACAACCAAGTTCCCTTCCTCGATGTCCTTGTGCGTCGGTGTGCAACTGGACAATTACAAACAACCGTTTTCAGAAAAGCCACCAACACAAGAAAAATACTGCATTTCAACAGCAATCATCCCCTCTCTCACAAACGCAGCTGTGTCCGTACTCTGTTCCAAAGAGTTGAAACACACTGCAGCACACCAGCCGACAAAAGAGTTGAACGACAATATCTGCATGATCTCTTTCGAACCAATGGATACCCAAGTCACTTCATCAAGCAAAGCAAGCGCCGAGTGAACAGACGGCGGCCACAAGAAGAACAACCCGAAGTCTGGAGCGCTATTCCTTACATTAAAGGAGTCTGCAAGGCGGTTTCAAGACTGCTACAACCCGCCAGGGTAGGTATTGTCCATCGACCCCAGGCAACAATTCGTCGTCGTTTGATGCAACCCAAAGACATACTGCCACCCACTGAAACCTCAGCAGTTGTCTATCAAATACGTTGTAAGGATGGAGACTGCAATTACGTTGGGGAAACCGGACTGAAATTGCAGACCCGCCTACATGAGCACAAACTGGCAACACGGAGACTAGACTAAAACTCACAGCTTGCGGCTCACATTGAGGAAACTGGTCAGTTTTGATTTTCAAGGAGCAGCCGTCTTAGACAGGGGCACCTCAAGGACTGAGCGTCTCACACGTGAGGCTTGGTACTCAGATGCCAACTCCATCAACAGGCATCTAGACCTTCCTTCGGCCTATAAAATCCTACGTCACTTCATACACCGTGACGAAGACAAGACAATCACACGGAGCCTAAGAATGCCGAGCAAACACGGCCTGTCGACCACTTCACCCAAAAGGGGAACGCAAACGCAACCAACCCCAATTGAGGTGACGAAACGTATTACAGGAGGCCAACAACGTTCACAGGCGAAGGCCAGTAGGCCAAGGCAGAGAAAGAAGAAAAAATCGATCAACCCAGGGCCAACTAATGCGGCAGTCTATTCAAAAATGCTGATCGACTTTTTCACTTGACGCTTTGACAATGGAGAGCAGCCCCAGCTCTTCGAACCGTCAGCCAGAAAAATCCCCCGGTCCGGTGAGCAATTCATTCTCCTCAAATCTACAAATACTAAAGCGATCTCGTGACTTAGAATATTGAAGGACACCGAAAGCATCACTAGAAATATATTTCTTTGCAAACATTCTTTTATATACTCTGTTTAATCGACAAAGTCAAAACAAACGTTTTGTTAACAATGCCATCCTCCGAAATGCCGAACCATTCATCTAAAAAACATGAATTTAAGCGTGCGTTCCTTTAATTGCGTCCATGACGTTTTACAATTCAAAACGTCGTCAGTCATCGTCGGCATGGCAAAGGGAACATTAGAGACTAATCTGTCGAGTAGGCTGGCTCCGCCAAATCTCATAGACCGTAGGCAATTGCCATTGCCTCGCCCATCGCATGCGCTTTTGATTGAGTGAATTTGGCATTGACGTTAGGGTAATTAAATAATACACGCTGTATTTCTTCTCGTTAAGTTAACCATAAATCGCCTGAGTAGTTATGGAAACTGGCTAAGATAAATGTTTTTATATTGTATGCTGTTTGAACAGATATTCAGTTCGGATTGTCAGAATCCAGAGATCCGGGTTGATTATTTGGAGAAGAACATAGGCTCTCCGGAACCGGTTAATTTAAATGCTGACGTCTCAAAGAGCTAGGTCGGCTCTTTTTTGTCAAATCTTAAAATGCGCTTAATCGATCAGAAATTTAATTTAAAGCGGTAGGGGTGTTGGTCGGCCTCACGCTGAACGATTGTTCTCTCTTCTCGCCGCCTGGGCCTCTCAGGAGATGTTTGACGGGCGTTTTGTCTGTGTGCTATGTGATTCAACACTCCGTCGAAGGGAGCTGATTTAACCTTTGTAGGGCGGTCGGTCTGGCGGTTCTTGTTCTACCTCAAAGAGTAAACTCGCCGTCGGGCTATCTCCGAACGGCCTACTTAATTCCGGTGTGGTTGTTTGCTCCTGAGTCCTACGATTGTGATGAGAATTAGGGTCCAATATCCGAGTGGTTAATTTGTGCTCTTGTAGGCCAGTTTCTAATTTCCGCCCGGTTTTGCCTACATACAATTTCAATTAAGGCGATTGCATGAACCCATTTTTAGAGAAGAAGGCAGATAAGGCGGTTTATGCACTTCGGGTCGTTAGTTGCTGCAACTGGATTATATGTTTTGGACGTTGTTGTAAAGACAAAATTTCCGAACTACAATACTGTCGAAGATCCTTCAAAGACAATGGCTACCAGCGCAACTTTCTCAACCGGTGCATAGGCAAAAGAGATGGAAGGCCAAACAGCATATATCCCGAATTTTGGATAAATTGTGTCTCTGATGGTGGGAATCTGGAACGTCCGGCGAAATAAGCTCTTATCCCGGCGATTAAGCCTCCTTCTTTACGACTGCGTCCTGAGAATTGCCTCTTAACTTATGCAAGTCCAGAGATTATAACAACAATGAAATGCATGATTTCATCCCAACCAAAAATAATTGCTGAGTATCACGTTGGACAAGCCCCATGCATAGCTACACAGCTGTAGAAATTCGGAAAGAAATCCTGCCATTTATCTTAAACTTCAGAACCTCCCCTAAACAATCTGACAGATATCATACCTTTCTGCTCCTGAAATCAATCGTCAGAAATGTAGTATATAAAGGCCATTAAAGCCATGGACTGTGTCGTTAATTTATGCAGTGATTGTTTGTTTTGTAATGAAAACCTACAAACAGGTTGAACGCAACGCGTAAGATATCGTTACTTGGGTACACCTGGCAAGCATACGGTTATTCGTTAGTCACAAGAACACCAATGTACTGCCTTTTGCTCTCTCCCCACTATTCACACTCGGTTTCAATGTTCACAGACGCACACCTTCATGAGCTCGTCGCAGGAGCAGACTAAGCAGTTTAATACTTACTTACACTCTAAAACCGTTTTAATGTCACAAAAATTTCCTCGCATTTCTGAGGCATGTGGGTCGACCTCGAAGCTGGAGAGATGGGGTTGGAATTTGTACTCAGACCAAACTGACCCTGCTTGCGGGGAAACCTCAAGTTTGCTAGGTATCTTCTTATTTAGTTTCGACTTTGCACCCGCCCATCCGGCAAAATAATTAGCGTGACTTTCCGACTTAACTTTCAAACAATCGGCATTTTAAAAGACTTATTTTTCTAGGCAGAATGATATTACCGACAAAGACAAGGGAGACTGGAATGGCCATTTCTGGCTTATTAACCCTCGTCAGCCAGCCATACCCAAGCCCGAAGTGTGGAACACCCGAGCCTGAGTAGAGGCGTTGACTTCTAAACCAACAGGTCGCGAGTTCGAGGCTCGGGTGTTCCACACTTCGGGCTTGGGTATGGCTGGCTGACGAGGGCTAATAAGCCAGAAATGGCCATTCCAGTCTCCCTTGTCTTTGTCGGAAATATCATTCTGCCTATATATCATGCGCCGCTTTGCGGCTGCTGGTTGGGCTCGAGAGAGAGTCCATAAGGCACAACGGGACGAGTGAGTTCCGTATGAACGATCGGTGAGCGCCCCCTAACACTTATTTTTCTACGAAGTTTGTTAATCAGAAATCGGAGATATAAGCCAAACTAGCAGATTTATCAACGAATCTCCAAATTTATACCGTTAAGTCGGGTTGTTCGAGTGGATTGTCTCCATTGCCTATCATACTGGGATAAAATCTTCCGTGCAATTAATCATTAAAAGACTTACCTCACAAAATTATAATTCAATCTCAAATATACTCTAACTAGTTAAGTTCTGAAATTCTTGAATTTTTTCATATCGTCTCTAACTGTTTACTCTATGAAACTTTTTTTCAGACGACAAGTAAACATTTCTCATCAGAAACGCTTGAGAACTGTCGAAACTGCCAAATATTACACCAGTCGCACAATGGGGTCTTTCTAGATCCTTTCTAGGATGTGCTAATTGTCATCATATTTACTTGCAGCGAATTACAAAGCCAAAATTTCCAATCTCCAGCAAAAAATACTCCCTCATATAATTGATAACACTCACTGTAAACCGGAAAACAAATGCAATACCCAGATGAACATGGCTAAGAGATAAAACGTGCATCGAAACTCATTTTGTAATGCTAATGTTTTACGATCATTGAAGTGGATTATGGTATCCAAAATCTAATAGAACCTGGGCTTGAATTGTGGTTTTCAGTGATTTGTACGTTTTAATTGTCAGGTCTCTGTCTTAACGTTGTTTAAAATGGAGTAGGCTTTATGTAAAATTCTATTTGGCATTTAGAAGAATGTTAACTTATTTTAATTAAAATTGGATACCACTAAAATCTAGGAAAAGCATATGAAGAAGGTTTTGGCGGCACTTCACATGGGAATTTAGGGGTCAAACTACGTCTTCACTGAGAAATGAAGCACTCGATGTCTTATAACTCATCAAGCACGTGACTTGCATTTGCTTATATTTGAGTTATCAAAGTCATACTAAGCCATTGCATGGACCGATGACCACGGTTTTTAAAAAAGTTTAACCGATACCAGGCATTAAAATAGGCTATTGTCCGAACGTACCGCAGCGTTCACGTTTCTGAATTTCACGAACAATATGATTAATGAAGCGATGCAGGCACATTTTCTGCCTAGGAAAAAGGCGACTACTTGAAGGGGCTGGACGACTCAGTAAAAAGCTAATCGCTTAGGGCGCCCGAAAAATCTTCTTTCAGATTCCGTCATTCATTCTGTATATTGTCTGAAAGAGCTACCTAGGGAGTGTATTTGCAATAGTAAAAGTGTTATTGATGATTTGTGAATACGGGGGAGCAATTGTTACTTTACGCTTCATTAACCGTAAACGAAACTGGCGAGTGTGCACTACATGGGGCATAAACAAGCTTCAGAAAGGCCCATTTCAGATCTTTATCCTTTCGACGGCATCTGGAACGTATATATGCCACGTAATGAAGATACTGATATGCCCTATGCGAGGTTTTCTATCCTGTGGTATGCTATTTAGCATGACCTTCAATGATTTAACACATTGACAGACAAAGTCACGTGTATCTCTGGGACAGCATTGTCCATCATAAGATGTAAGTAGTTGTTTTATCAAAACTGACAAAAAATATAATAATCCCCTACTATGCGAGGCCGTCGATTTCCGCGCCCGTCAAGTCTGATATGCGGTATTACGTTACATAGGACCAAAGTTACATTAAGTTTAACGACGTTTTATAATCATCAGGATTACTTTTTCGAGGAACAAGCATTTTCTGGACATGATGTTAAATTTTCATCTGCCGTAAGGCGACACAAGGCGAGAATCATCAGTGTCTCATCGTAGATAGACAAAAACAGATCAGATTTTTCATTAATCATTGTACTAGCCGCTGCCTTAATTCCTGACAAAAGTGACGTACATTTGTTCAGGGTTATTTTCGAAAGATATATTTTGCTGTTAGTAAAGATGAAAAAAAGTGTGGCTTACAATTGCCATCTTGTTTCATCCCGCTGAGGTCTGCAATAATCCACCTTACAAGACGGCTTTCTCGTTATAAAAGCTGCGTCTGGTTGGTTATTTTCGCCCTTCGACAAAACAACCAAAGAGCGTTAAGCGCTGTCATTCTAGGTTCTTTTGATTTCCACATTCCGTCAAGTGCAGAACAATGGAATTACACAAAGACATATAAATGGGTTATGCAGCTATCTCTATTTATCTAATTTCCCACGAATGTGTTCAGTAAATGTTTTGAGCCCATAGCAGCATCTGTCAAGCGTATGCGTGTATTGGTATGCGTGTATGTTACACAATCAACATTGTATTTAGGTCCCTTAAGATCAACGATGGTAGAATTTTAAAGCAAGAATATACTTAATTTAATAAATAACACGTGTTTTAATAGAAAAATCAGCCTTGGTCAAACACGATTTTGGTATCCTAGGCCGCATCGGATAAACGCGAACCAATATATTTAAAAACCGCCTCTTGGCATAAATAACGTCATAGACACTGACTTAAGTGATCCTGACAAACGGACTTTTACTTTAATTATTTGTTTAAATAGTCCATCCGATCATTGTCAAGTAGTGCCTTGCTGCGAGAATTAAAGACAAGAAACAGAAAACATAACAAGAGCTAACACAATAAAAATATGTTGACAAATGTTTTGCAGAAATCAAATGAGATCCGTTATCAAGCATACGATTGAGCTTTTAGAAACACTGACAACAGAATTGCCAGAAAGTACCTGTCGTTATATTCTGGTTGCAGTTTAGTATAGGGAACAAATTCAGAATCCGGAAAATAGTGTTCTTGCTTGTAGGATATCCTCACAAGTTTAACTAGTTGAACACTTCCGAAATCACTGCCTTTCGCCATGTAAATTTTTGAAAACTTTAGTAATACCTTTCGCATCACCCATACAGTCTTGATAATAATTGAGGCCTCAATTAAACGATTGAATGTGGTAGCCTATTAATTCCTCGAAGCCCGGGGCATCGGCAACAACGTATATGTTTAACTCACAGTTATGGGACTCAGATAAACTTCCATTGAGGTGTTACATCGCGAAGTAAGAGTTTGCGTTGCCAAACATGAAGGCGTGTAGTATTCCGTTTTCCCATTGACAGCGCTGCGTTTGAATGGACGAAGGCTTCGGCTGTTGCAGGTTTCTCGAGTCAATTTTACGGGTATCGTAAACGAACAGGAGAAAATCAAGTGGTGCAATGTCTTGTGGCCGAAACAATTGCGATCTTTTAATGGATGCGGTGCGGTTGTGTACAAAGAACGATGTCAGTTAGATTGTTGCGCATGACGAGGTCCACCGTTTGCTCCACAGCAAGGTGACGCAGACACAGTGACTTCAACGCGATTTTGTTTACAGTGAATGTAGAAAAATACAGCATGTACCACACTCCCTCCTCCTCTTCCACCTGGACGCGGTTTCAAAGCAGTCAGAAAAACCTGAGTCGTGGAAAGGCGCGGATGGATGACACGGTCGAGCTCGCACCTTGACGTTCTACATTGCAAACGACCAGGATTTGAAACAACGCGAAAGAGGAATTCGCGCGGCCGAAACCGACCCAAGGCGTGCCGTCACACCTGGCTCGGATCCGGCGGAGTGGGAGCGCCATAAAGACCATGTTAAGAAGGAGCTATTGCGGTCTCGTTTTTTGATCAAATGTCGGCCGCTTTTCACACTATTGCAACATGAAATTTGAGTTCTACGCCTAATGCTAAATAACTGAACTTTCAGCGGTCACAAGTAGTTAGACGTCAAGCCTCGGCTCATTCGATGAGATTAGTTGCAAATTTAATTAATATATTCTTGAAATTGTTGCGAGCAGTATTACACATGTGCTGATTTCCATTCGCGTTACAGGCAAAATTACCTCCTCCGGAATATTTTTTGCTCCTATCCAACAAAAACCATGTTTGGCCACACAGAAAGAAGGCGGGCGAGACAATTTGCCGAGTAATCGATACGCCAGGTGTCAAAAACGATGACGATAACGGCCAATGTTCGGACTGACAAGTGGCTATCATATCGAATGCGATCCCTAACGGCTAAAGCCACTGCCGTTAATTGTGCTGGTCATGCCATTACTTGGCCAACGTGCGCCTTTAATACTTCGTTTCTGCTGTCTGGACCAGCCTATGCCGCGACCGTTAGTGAAGGCAGATAATAAATTTGAGGGATGGAGACTTTATCCGGGCTGCTTCGAAATTTCGCTAGAATGGAAAATATTCTGCTCACACTTTCTCATACCATCAACTCCAACATGCTTACGGCCAATTACTTCGACTATTTAACGCACTACTACGCATAATTCACGCATGTCACATGCATATGTGTATGTTTAATCAGGCGGTTACGGATAGTCGTCGTTTTTTGGCTTATTGGGTATTAGAAGGCACATAGTTGCCGAGCTCAACCTTAAAAATCCTATAAATATTTAGATAACTGAAGGAATTTGTACTTGCCCCATCATCCTGAACTCGGCTTATTTAAACAACCATTCGGGTCATTTTGTTGACAGCTGCTGGTTTCCAGTGTATGGCGAGATTCCTATGGGTCTGAATGTTACACAAGTAAGATACGATTTATAAAACCCCCAGCAAGACAGAAAAATTGCAGTGTTGATCTTGATAGCAATATACCAAATGCGACAAATACAAAGCACCTCCATCAATGTTCAAATCCGCAAACTGGGCTGCTTTGACAACTAGTACACCGTCCCTAAGCAGACAAGTTTATTGTGACTTTTTGACAGACAGAGCAGACACAGGTCGAACGTTCATTGTGATTGCATGATAAGGTCGCGGAAGATCTCCCTCAATTCTGCACGATTGTCTGGTCTTGGCGGGCACACAACACTGTCTTACTTTTCCTCTGATGAACACTCATTTTAACTTACCATACCTGACGACTTCTGTCTTATGTGCGCATCGGTCATATATGTCGTTCGAGATAAACGTAAGACGATTATTTACATTATATTTCTGATATTTTCAAATTCTGTCGATAACATAAGAAATATTATAATTTTCCATTTACTCTCCAGTCATCGCAGGTGCATCCTGCCCTATGAGCTGCTTGAAGATCTCACTTATGTGAAAACGATTTGGAGATTAAATAAGTATCTAAAACATGTGCTAAGTAACTTAATTATGCTGGTTCCCTAGCTGTGTGTAGAAAAAGCGGGCACATGTTCATGTACACGTAGGGGTGTTTTAAGTCTCCATAAACTTCGTCAAAGATACAGGTAACTTTTCAGATCTTTCAAGTGCACATATTGTTGCTGTTTGCTCCTCGTTCCATTAAACACCACCTAGTGCATTTTATGTCATTGATCATTTAAAGCAAGTGATCCACATCGCGTTACTACGTTAGGTATTGTATGTTTACTTACTTCTCAGTCAAGTCTACTCTATATAATCTGAAAATCCTATCCTCATACATTGACTCAATTACTGGCTTGCAAACTAAATCAGCAGCACCACCCAACGGGTTATAACAGTAGGCTAAAAAGTTAATCACTCAACATAAAATTGTTGTTTTTATTCATTATATGCTTGCTTATTATTGCATTTGCACTAAATGTCTACAAGTTTAACAGGTTTAGAACGGTTGTATTAAATATACTTTGTCCACATTTCAAATAAAACGACACACTAGGAACATGCAAGAACAGTCTTTAGCAATAATTGCACCGCAACTGCACAACTGCCTAAATTAAATTTTCTAAACAACGCATCTTTTGACGGTCGATGAACACATAAGTCCTCCCCTTGCTAGAAAATATCAGCAGAAAATATATTGCCTTGATTATCTACCAGTATTTATCATTTATTACAGGAGTACTTATAAAAATGTCCGTCATTCCTTCATTTTACGGCACGTCGCCATGCCGTCATCCTCTCTGTCCATATTCCCTGTTGATTAGTGCTTATGATAAAGAGTTTGTTAATAGTGACTCCTACTACGGTGGGGCTACCCTCAGCTATAGGTCATTTGCGTCGTAGATGTGGATTTTAATAAGATCAAATACATTGCGTTTGTATGAACTCTTACAATGCATGGTATTTCTTAACTCTAGTGCTGGCCGTTGCAGGGCCTAATTTCAAAAAGCTGATTGCGAAACCAAAGGAAACCACAGCTAAAAACACCGCGGAGGAAGAGAAAACGCTTAATAAATTTGATAATGACTCGCTATCAGGATTGCCATGCCAACACCAAGAACTGTGTTGTGTCTTTGAACCAAATGACAAAACTCGTATTTAATTTCTGGCTTTAGTCTTTCAAGCATAATGTGACTGTACTCATGTCTTTGGACTTTTTTGGGACTTTCAACTTGGTAGAATTTTATTTTCGATACTTTATATTTGTCAGCCTACAAAGATATGTAGACTGCAAGGTGATGTTTGTCTTTGTTTTTTATTTGTATAAATAAAAATGGTACTTGTTCAAAACAAACAAATATTCACAGGAGAACAGGGTTTCATGGTTGTGAAGACAAAGCGACGTCTTAAGTGGTATAATGCCTTTTCGCTGGCAAAAATGCAGAGACCTCCTCTCCTATTGGCTAGTATTGTCCTCGGTGATATCTTTATTTGTGTTCGAAAAAAGCCGTAGACCACACAGGCATATGAGGTAGAGATTGTTTCTGTTTCCTCCAACAAACATGAGAAAAGGAACTTTCCCTCCCTTTAGTAAGGATGGCCATATGATATATCTAGTTAAGAGTATCAATAGTCGTTTCATAAATTAACTGGAATTTGACAAATAACACTTATACCAATCTTAATCATAACCGGTATTTGACCGCACAACAAATTCCCTACGTTTATAGTCAGCTCCCTTGATTACCACTGGGGCTCACTATGGCTGCTTTTTAGTCTGCACCCAATTTGCAATGGATTAATTGTTATCACCTTTGTGGAGTCTATACGTAAATATTACTTGGTCACTTGAATTTTTGTTACTGCAGTTGTCGTTAGACCTTCATGATCCCGAATGTCTAATTCCTTTATTCAGGCCAAGTCTGAGTACAGAAACTATGGCCAGAAGCCCACAATGCTTAATTCTCTACTGGGCCCAGCAAGCCAGGGCTTAAGCATCTCTCGGCTCACGCGGTTGACGCCTGTTGCAAGACTTTTGGCCTCATTAAAACTTACAGAGATGGTCGAGTGCCGTTCATCCAGCCGAGATTTATGACTTAGCGACATCTTGAGCATTTGCATCCAAGGCAGTCTTCAAGTTTCTCCAACGTAACGGGCTGTCTACGACCGCACTGGATCAAATAAAATATGTTTCTTGCAATGTGAGAGGGTTTTCGGCCTTATAAGCTGGCGAGAGAGGGTCGTTCCGACTTGTGTGCAACTTCAACTCCAAGCCGTGTTAGCAGACTGCTGACGTATTCCAAGATACTTTCCATGTACGAGGGCGCTCTAATAAATTTGGAATTGGTTGGATTACGTCTCACATCTTAGACTGCATCCTATAAATACTGCAGCCCCTTGTGCGTGAATCAGTCGTATCTGCTGTTGTCTCTGACGATGGATTCGAGCAGAAATCCGAAACCTCAGGCTAATAATGCTTTGGTCTCAGTGGTCGTGTCTCCTTCTTCGAGCCTCCTTCCTGGGAATTGTCCCTTCGCTTCTATCGGCAATATTCCATATCTGCTCACACAGCTACTTACCTACGTTTATCGGCAGCTCCCTTGCTTACCACCGGGACTCCAGGTGGCTGCTTTTTATTCCGCAATCCAATTTGCAACAGATGAAATTTAATCACCTTTTGGAGTCTAACCGTGATAATTACTCGGCCATTTGTTTTAATGTTGCTGAAGTTGTTGGTAGACATGGACTTTCGCGCAGGGCTAATTCTTCAACTCAGGTAAAGTCCCAGTACAGGACGTCTGGCCAGAAGTCCATATGCTTGATGCTCAACTGGGTCCAGTGGGTCAGGTATTAAGCACCTCGTAGCTCACGCGGGTGACGTCTCTTGCAAGAATATTGGCCTCACCAAATTTAGAGGTGTGGTCGAGTGCTGCCCAGCAAACCGCGACTTATGAGTATCTCCATTTTGCGCATTTGGGTCCAAAGTAGCCTTCCAGTTTCTCCAACGTAACAGCCTGTCCACAACGGCACCAGATCTAATAATATACGTTTCTTCGGCCTCATAGGCTGGCTCTGGAGGGCCTCTAAGACTTGTAGTCAACTCTACCTCCCAGGGATTTTAACAGAATGCTGAAGTGTTCTAAGATAATTTCCACGTACGAAGGCGCTGGTCAAAATTTCGAATCGGTTGAATTGCGTCTCATATCACAGACGGACATACTGGACATTGTATGTGGAGGATGCCTATGTCCTCATTAAAACGGATCAGGTATTGGCACGCAAAGCGCACATCAATCACATTCACCAGGATGAACAAATTACGACAGTGGAGAAAGAGAACAACCAGCCGGTCATTCTCGGTCTCCTCTGCCTTTGCAAACACTGGGTTGACCTTTAGACTGTACTTACCAGGAAAGCGGCTAAAACGACGCCAATACTGCAGTTTAACAGCAACCACCAAAGTGGTCACAAACACAGTTACGTAGAGGCGCTATAACGGTGCCTTGTCACACATTACAGTAGCCCGAAAAAACAGCAGCTGAGGAACTCTGTCTTGGGCAGGTATTTGGAGTACATGCGTACTCCAGCACATTTGTCAACCGATGCCTACACAAAAAGGACGACATGCAATTTTGTGAAGCTCTTTTATACATGAAAGGGAAATATGTGTTCCAGAACGCAAACTATGAGAATGATGTTTAATCATCTGATTCTGCATAAATATGTAATGTTGTTGCATTTCATTTTATAGGTAACTGACCACGCTGCGAACAAGTGCTCGAACAGGCCACACAATATCTGTCGAATTTGTGAGGTTTTATCTCGTCGGTAATCAAAAAATTGTTGATATTTCGATAAAAAAACAGCTCGGATTAGGGCAACCAATTAGTCATTTAGACAAACAAGGCAATCTACAACTCATTATCAGAATGTGTGGTAAGTATATTGTTTAAATGCTCTACCTTTAACGTGTCTCTTATCTTTAGCTTTTCCTATATTTGATAAGAACCCAAACGCCAAGTAAGTCTTATTTAAATTTCATCCATCATATGTCCTCTTTTATATGCTTTGTGAAATCTGTCTTTTCATGCTTAGCGGTGTATAAGGACAGTATTGTTCTCGGCACTCTTGGCATGCATATTTATATCTGACAGTCGTGAAAGGTCGAGACATTATTTCTGCTATGAAATAATATTTCGCTTGTTAAAGTTTGGAATCGGTTGGGTTGCGCTTCATATCACAGATCGAAAGGCAGAAGGTTGTATGTGGAGGATGCCCTTGTCGTCATCAAAAAGGATCAGGTAGTGGCACTCAACTGGATTCACCAGGATAAAGAAATTACGACAGTTGAGAAAGAGAACAAGCAGGCGGTCATCATTGACGTCATGGTCTGTGGCAAATATCGGGGTCTCCTAAGAACTGTGATTTTCAGGAAAGCGGCCAATTTGACGCCAGTAATGCAGTTTAACAGAAACCACAAGATCAGTCACATACGTAGTTACGTAGAGGCGCTATAAAGGCGACTTCATACAGACTACAGTAGTTCGAAAGAAAAAAAACAGCCGAAATACAATGTCATTGGTACGTTCTTGATGTGAATGCATACTCCAGCACCTTCGTCAATCGATGTCTGCGAAAAAAGGACGAGAGACTATTTTGTAAAGCTCTATCGTACATAGAAGCAAACTTTGTGTTTCAGAAAGAAAAATATGGGAATAATGTTCAATCACTTGATTCAGCAACAGTATTGAATGTTGCCGTATTTCATTTTAAATGCAGTTGACCGCGCTGGGAACGTGTGCTTGAACAGGCGACACAATATCTGTCGAACCGTAATATGTGTTCATGAGAAACAAATAAATAAAATGAAATAATCGTATTAAAGACCCATCGGCGAACCTTCGTAGCAAGGAAAATGAAATGTAACTTGATTATTCAAGTTACCGACAATACTGGCGGTGTCGCTTTCCACAACGATAGTGGCTTTTCTCGTTTGTCGGCAAACCGTCTTTGAAGGCCTAGCCGACCTCATGTTGTAATTTTCAACCGCACTAGAAAAAAAGGTTGACGTTATGGGTAACAGAAATTGCGTGCCTCCTATTTACATTACCACCTCGACCCCTTAGTTCTGAAAAACCACTTGCTATGTGAACTGTGAGGTTGTGGGTCCACGAATATTGCTACCGTAAGGGAAGCTTTTATAAATTATTGTAAGCCGCAAAGTGTACGCCTAGTGTTCAGCATTTCAATTGAAGCAAAAAACCGTCTAAGTGGAGGCATAGAACCTCCGTAAACGAGGTCGACAGGGTGGTGCAGCAGTTATTGCTACTCATAATAGCTTTCTAAACGGAGAGATTAAAAAATTATTGGGATACGCAAGTTATCCATCAATATTGAGAATGTTACGTAGAATACATCAGCACGTCTATTCAAATGAAATAGGAGGTTTTTAACACATATGTCGTTTTCCACTAAGGTCAATGCACCCGTTAGCGAGGGAGTTTTCAACTCCAAAATTATTAAACACTTTTACTGCACTTAGCAATGAACTACGATTGTACTAATGAAGGAGTTTACGCGTATGGGGCTCCCTGAAGTTTATTATCTGTAAATCTATCTCACCAAGCCCTCCAGCTACTCGCGGCTGAGTTACTGATAATTAATCTCGGTATTTTACACATCTTTCTTGGGTGTCTTTCAAAAGGAAAAAACGACAATGGGTCGCGACGCCCTTGAAGGGACTGATTCGAACTTTGTTTTAATCGTTCGATTTTGGGGTAGTAAGGTTATTGGGGATTGCTGCATAAAAACCGTCGCCTGTAAGTTTAAAGATCTAGAGTCGACGCAATTGTGCGATCAGGCCGTAAATTCACAAGACGACGTGGATAGACTACGGCAGTTACTTTTTTATGCTGTTTGCAAATCTGAAAGGACATACAAACTGGCCAACAACTGTCCTGCACAGACTGAATAGCTATTCTAAACATTTGCAGTCGGCAACTGAATTTTTTTCCCCTTTTTCAGATTTTGCACAAAAGAGATGTTGTGACATCTGATTGGTGAGCAAAATTACACATTACATGCAATCAATTTTTGTGATGCATTGATTATCACTGATTACGTTTGCTTACGCCGCCACCATTGCGTGTGTGTGTGACGTGACGCGTCTTTGCTGAGGTGATTTTTATCATTCATTTGTGTACGTATCTCATCCCATTCTACACCAAATGCTGCGTTTATAACGTCAAGGCATGACATTAAACGCAATTTTGTTGACTTCTGAAGACGTTGATAGAGGAAAAGTTTAGGGTAATAGAGCATGAGGTAGATCATTATTATATCCGCTTGGGCCGAAGTAGACTGTTTAGTTATTGCTTATCCAGGGGCATATTTGAGAGGGATTTTGTGATCTGACTCGGAGGACAAAAAGCAGACGACTTTGTCAAGAGAGTGTTTTATCGATACGTAACACGTAACTCACGTAATCATCGCCTTTCGCAGAAAATTTGGCCCCAACGCACTTAAATATGTGACCGCGGTAAATGCATTTTCATAAAGGTCACGCTTGACTCTCCTTCGGACAACCGGAAGCACAGCATACACTACGATGTGTCCAAAATCCATTTAAACTGAGAAGCAGAACGCCATCTACCTAAAAGCCTTCGCTATACGTCAGAACAGATTAAACTGAAGATTATAACCCACCCAGGCCGTTAAACCTTGTGCTTTAAAAGTAAAGAGTGCTGCTACTAGTGGACGGAACACGAGCACTGCGAAACGCCTACCCAAAATAATTTCAAAGATATTTTTCACCAGCTGATCGGTAGAAATAATTGAACTATTAAGTCAAACTCATTAAAAGATTCACTGCCCGCGTAAAAAAACAAACAAAACCGAACGAAAAATCATGATTCGTTAGATGTTTTTCAACTGGAGACGCTCAATAACACCAAATATGGTGAAGAGCCAGATTTTGAAGAAAAAAGGATGACGATCAGCAAACCCGCGCCCAGTTAGGTCAAACAACTGTGGATTCGAAATGCGACAACGTGCTAGGTATGCCACATGAAATATCTACCAAGCTTGATGCCGATATCGTTTCAAAATCTATCAGAGAAAAACACCGCTTTCGTTATGCAAATGTTTTGCGTTTGTTCCAGAACAGATGAAAGCCGAAAGTGGGACATAAGTCGAAGCAGCATGTCAGTTGCATTAAAGATTCTTGGCTGCAGGTTTTAATATTAGCTGCTGAAACTGTTTCTGATGAATACCTACTCGTTAATCGAGATATGTAAAAATAAGCATGGGGTTTTTTCTACGTCGAGATGGGCAGCATCACCTTAGAACACAAACATTTGACTGCCAAAACTGAAAAAAATGTGATTAAAGCTATAGTGCATCAAATGGGGATATTCAGGCTGTGCACAGGGCGACCGACACACTCCGGAGGTTACTGGATTAAATAAAAACGAGGTCTGAAACGAAGAAATACTAATCGCCGTACATCAAATCGTCCACCGAGTCGACTGGAATGATATATCTGTAGGCACTTCCTGTAATTCTTTTTGCTTCCAGACCAAAAACTTTGGCAACGAATTTATTTCTCGTACAAAGTGTCAGCTTTCCGATCATATCAAAAGGGGCACAAGTGACAAAATGGTCAGAATCGTCCTCACTAAGACCCTAAAAATGCTGCCGAACTTACGTATATTGCGTTGCTTAACAATAGCGATCCCGAGATAGTACTGTGGGCATATTACTCATACATCCAGCAAATGAAGATATTTGAGGTTCGGCCACATTTCCGGCAGGGAAATGTGGATGTGGATTTAGGTTATTACGGCTCATCTGTCTGTCGATTGGAACATCACCAGGTATGCCGTGTAATTGTCCGACAAAATAACCCCCTGGAGGACAAAGAGTTTCCCAGAATGCAAAATGTGGATCGCGGAAGGAGTACGAAGCACGCAGTCTAGAAAGGACCGTAGACGGGTCAAAGGTACACTTTAGGTAAATCAACGGAAGGCTAAAGAACAATGCTAAGGTCGCATTGCTGAATGGCTGAGTCAATGAGAACAGTACCGAAAACGACAATAAGGCAGAACAATAAAGCTGACTTATCACATCTGTTTTCACAGATGGAACGAACATTAACAATCCTAACTTTCTACTTTAAGCAAACTACGCAGTATTTTAAGACATCGAATTCACAGAATAGGATATAAGGTATGAACCCTTTGGGCTTAGGGTACATTAGACTCCGGTCCGGACCAAATGCTGACAAAATATTTGATGAAGCCTGCTTGCTTAAACTCCCGGTCACTTTCGGATATTTTTCAGCGGTTCTCGATCGAAACATTCTTCTGTTTGATTTGATGGCGGCGAGTGGTTATTCAGTTCACACATGTCGGCCCTGTACTTGCTACAAATCTTCTTGACCGATGAATTTAATATGCGTTCCTGGCAAACTTGCGGAACGGCAATAAAAAGTTGTCATAAGATTCCTCGAAGATAAGGATTCCTTGACCGTGCTCAACTTGGATTACTCATATTGAACCAATTGATCGGCGTTTGCCCATTCCGGAGTGAACAAATAACCGATCTGCAGCGACAGATAATATATATTTATATGTGTACTGGAAAATGGGCATTCCAAGAAACATAATTCGAAGAAAAATGAGACCTTTGGGAAAATTTATTTGGTAAATTTGGTAAATTTTATTTGGTAAATTTTAGAGTCCGTTTCCCGAGTTCGTCTTCAGAAGTGTAGTCAGTGTGAAGAAACAGTCAAAATTTAAACAATGCCCAAAAAATCAATATTGCACTGTCATGGCTGAGGATGGGTTGAACTCGTTGAAAGACACCTGAGGAAGCACCAAATACAAGTGGTTCACAAACCGACTACCACGCTACGCAATCAGCTTGTACATTCTAAGGATAGAGTTGCAGTGCATTACACAGCATTACACAGCACTTGTAATGCAGTTTATTGTGGTCAAACCGGAAAATCCGCCTCTACACGCCTACATGAACAATAATTGGCAGTGAAGAGGCGGGACCACTTATCCCAGGTCGCCTTTAAACTGGGCACAAATTCGCTTGGGATAAAACACACATTGTCGTTTCCTGTCCACAATAGAAAGGCCGAGAATTTATAGAGGCCACTCACTCTGATGATTCATGCATCAGTCGACGCATCGATCTTGACGCCATGTACATAAATCTCAAGGAAAATGGAGAACGTGATAGATATTCAAGACGTGACATCAGCCCGCAGCATCAACCCATCCTCAACCATGAGAGAGCAATATCGATTTGTTGGGCATGTTTAAAGTTCGACTGTTTCTTCACAATTACTAAACGTCTGAAGACGACTTGGGGAAGCAGACTCGAAAAATGACGAAATAAAGTTTGGTTATTTTCCCAAGGGAATCATTCTTCTTCGAAATATATACATAAAATACCTGAGTATCTCGCTAAGATTGCAACAGGCCTGACGCAGACAGCTGTATCACGGTCGTTACCGATCATCAGCACGTCATAGACCTTATGAAGTGAGGTATATAAGCATGTCAAGTGGGCGTTTGACCCTCACTGTTGTGGCTAGGATCTCACTAAATCCCATTCCGTCCGCCCGCCTATGACGTACTGATGATCGGTAACGACCGTGATACAGCTGTCTGCGTCAGGCCTGTTGAACTCTTAGTGAGCTGCTCATGTATTATATGTGGTATGTGTCCTATGACACAGTTTTCGTTGTCGCCAGTAGTAAGCTGGCGGGCGGTTAGAATGGGATCGAATGAGACCCTAGCCACAACAGTGAGGGTCATACGCCCACTTGCGTATATTTCCAAATCCAGTTAGCGGCCAGGGTTATTATTGGATAAATTACGGCTAGCAGGCGCGAAATGGTGCTGTCTCAATCTGTACCTCAAACATTGTCGACTCCAACCTCTTCTATCCTAGCTTGGGCGAAGTCGGCATGGTATTTGGTTGCGTGTTCATGACTCTCATCAGACATACGAAGCTTGTTTGTTTCGGGAAGCTAAATGATTCGTGTGCACCAATTCCAGAGTAAATATATATATATATATAATACATGAGCAGCTCTCTAAGAGTGCAACAGGCCAGACGCAGACAGCTGTTTCACGGTCGTTACCAATCATCAATACGTCACAGGATCTCGCTCGATCCCATTCTGTCCGCCCGCCAGCTTGCTACTGGCGACAACGAACGCTGTGTCAGAGGACACATACCACATATACTACATGAACAGCTCGCTAAGAGTGCAACAGGCCAGATGCAGACAGCTGTTTCACGGTCGTTACCGATCATCAGTACGTCATAGGCCTTATGAAAATGAGGTATATAAGCATGTCAAGTGGGCGTTTGACCCTCACTGTTGTGGTTAGGATCTCACTCGATCCCATTCTGTCCGCCCGCCAGCTTGCTACTGGCGACAACGAACGCTGTGTCAGAGGACACATAGCACATATAATAAATGAGCAGCTCTCTAAGTGTAAAACAGGACAGAATGGGATCGAGTGAGATCCTAACCACAACAGTGAGGGTCCAACGCCTACTTGACATGCTTATATACCTCATTTTCATAAGGCCTATGACATACTGATGATCGGTAGCCACCGTGAAACAGCTGTCTGCGTCTGGCCTGTTGCACTCTTAGGGAGCTGCTCATGTATTATATGTGGTATGTGTCCTCTGACACAGCGTTCGTTGTCGCCAGTAGCAAGCTGGCGGGCGGACAGAATGGGATCGAGCGAGAACCTTACCACAACAGTGAGGGTCAAACGCCCACTTGACATATATATATATGGAAGAAGGTAAAGAGATCTCTGGGGAGGATGATTTATTCATCTGACGTTTCACACTTATACTTGAGCGCATCATCGGAGATAGATTAAAAGTGGATTTTGTCGCTGCTCTTGAAGCGACACTCTCAAAGACGAAGGCCACAGAGGACACCAAGAACTCGACTCGTCAACGAGCCGCATCACTAATCATATCCCACAGGCCACGTCGAACCATCTCCTCACCCGAGGTAAATGCCATTAAAGAATTAAAGAGGGACGAAGACATTGTGATTGTCCCAGCAGACAAAGGACGGGCAACCGTGATCCTGGACAAGTCAGAGTACGCAGCGAAAGCTCAGGAGCTACTCAACGATAACCAGTCATACAAGGTCATTGACTCCGACCCCATGAAAACACTGGTGGCAAAAATCAGCAAGAGTCTGAGTCTAATGAGGAACCAGCAGGCAATATGTGAGACCGATTGGCGACAGATGAAACCGCAAGATGCTGCAATAGCACGCTTCTATGGGCTGCCAAAGATCCACAAACCAAACGTCCCCTTACGGCCAATTGTGGCGCTGAAGGACACACCTACCTCCGTCTGGCTAAGTGGCTTACCAAGCATCTGAAGAAGCTGACAGAGGGCTCAGAACACACAGCTGTATCCCCATCACACCTCCAGGAAAGACTCCGCGGCGTCAAAATAGCCCCCAATGAAATAATGGTGTCCTTCGACGTCGTCTCTCTTTTAACCTTCATCCCTAAAGAATTAGCCACGAGGGTCATAAGTGACCTACTGGAGAGGAGGTACGATGAAGAGGAAAAACCTCTGAAAAGGAAGCACATAATGGAGCTACTGGACTACTGTTTGAGCACGTACTTCACGTTTAATGGGCAGGTGTACGAGCAAATCCAGGGAACTCCGATGGGATCACCAATCTCCGGCTACCTAGCTGAGGCGGTTCTACAAAAACTAGAAACACGGGTTTTTCAGTCCTACATGCCAACATTCTGGATGCGCTATGTAGATGACACCTTTGTCATCCTACCTCAAGACATGAAAGAGTCGTTCAGAAGCAAATTGAACTCAATTTTCCCCCAGATTCAATTCACAATGGAGGAAGAAAAGGACGGGGAAATCCCCTTTCTGGATGTCCAGGTGTCGAGACAGGAAGACGGAGCCCTCCAAACTGGTGTCTTTCGAAAGACGACCGATACGGCGAAAATCCTCCATTACAGCAGTAACCATCCTTGGCACATAAACGCAGTTGCGTGCGGACACTCTTCCTACATATCAACACACTGCAGCACAGAGGCTGAAAAGCTGCGAGAGCGTAAATCCCTATGGCGTCTCGTTCTCTCCAATGGGTACCCACGCAGCTTCATAAACAAATGCCTGTATCAAAGGCACATGAAGACCGACGGTGAACAAAAACAAAAACCTGAATTCTTCCGTGCTTTGCCCTACATGAGTGACGTTTCCGAAGCCACTGAACGCATGCTCAGACCACTCAACGTGGGCCTTGGACACCGGCCGGAGGTCACTATCCGCCGCTTACTCATGCGGCCCAAGGGGCGGCTACCACCTGAGGACACGTCAGGAATTGTTTACCGCATCAACTGTCTAGACTGTCCGGCCAATTATTGTGGCATGACCGACAAACGATTAAGGTCGCGCATGCATGAGCATTCTCTAGCTGTAAAGCGAAAAGATGTACGATCACATGTTGCCATGCATAGCCTCGAAAATGACCATCAATTCGGCTTCGACAAGGCAGAAGTAATCGGTCGAGCTGAAAACAAAATGGCGAGAGAGATAATCGAAGCCTGGCAATCCAAGGCCAACTCGATCAACCGTAGGATCGACCTACCGGCGCCATATGAGGCCGTCAGACACCACTTGAAGGGAGGACCAATGGGAAAAGAGAACAATACACCTATGAGTACTGAGTAAGAAAGACCTATTTAAACCTTGTATTCCCACTTTTAATCTATCTCCGATGATGCGCTCAAGTATGAGTGTGAAACGTCAGATGAATAAATCATCCTCCCCAAAGATATCTTTACCTTCTTCCATCTCAACACCTGGGGTCGGCATTTTCGCCTATATCCATATATATACTGCAAGCAAATATAATGATGCATAGTGATCTGCATATATAAATATATTGAAATCAAATACGTTATTTTGGAAAGAGAGAAGCTCTATTGAGTGACTTTGAGACGTCGGTTCCCCATGTCGTCGTCAGACTAGAGTAAATGTGCAGAAAACAATTAAAATTTTAAACGTGCTACAAAATCAATACTCATTTGGTGCCTCAGCTAGTAAGCTACCGTCGTATGTGTCAGTCCGTATTGATCGGCTTTTGCCTCTTCCACTTTTCTCTGAAATTTCTGTACGTGACATCTGACTCGATATGCCTGCTGATGCATGAGTCATCGGAGTGCATGACTTCAAGAATCTATCGGCATTTTTAGATGGGCAAACTCCGACGATGCGAGTTTTGTCCCATGCGAAAGTGTGCCCAGTATCAAGAGTGAGCATGGCTATTTGAGACAAGTGGTATCGCCTCTTAACTGCCAGTCGATGTTCGTGGGTGCGTGGAGAGGCAAAGCTTCCCGTTTGGCTGTGTTGGGACCCTTTTCCACAGGGCCTATCGTTACTGCAGTAGCGCCGATTTACTCAAAGATGAACTGGCCTACTTGCATCGCTTTTTCCGACTCAACAGATACCCGGCGAGCTTTGTGAAAAATTGTCTCAGACGTCAGCAACAACCACAAAACCTCGACTCAAACGGAGACAGGGTATCACGGAAATTCTATTCCCTGCCCTACATGCCGAGAATATCCGAAGCGATCGCTCGACAATTAAATCGATTCGGTATCTCCATTGCCCACAAACCGGCATCTTCATTGCGCACGACATTATCCCGGATAAAAGACCCCATACCGAAGGAGCAGCATTCCATGTTCAAACAGTTCTAGCGTTTATGTTGGGCATACCGGCCGACGACTTGGGACCCGCATTAACGAACATAAGTTGGCCACCCGCCGACGGGACCCCTTGTCTCTCGTGTTTGCGCACTTACTTGAGTGTGATCACCGCTTCAACTGGGAGGGGACCGAAAGGGTTCGCTAGTACGAACACCAAACAAGCGCGAGAGTTTCTAGAATCTTGGCACTCTAATAGCAATAGCATCAACCGCCATGTCGACTTAGACGCTCAAAACGAAGGCTTACGTTCACGGATCGCCGGCTTGCGCCCACCCTAAGCCACCAACTGCTAAACATGTTCGGCCATGTAAATATCATGGATTCAGCACCTCACCCACAGAGTGAAACATGTGTGAAACCCCCAACACCTCTCCTAACGTCCGCCACATATCCAAACACGTTCTTCACCCCCACACATAAACGCCTGTCTTGTCGATGTAACCTCGATGTCCCCTGACTCCCCAGTCGGATTATCTACCTCACACTATTCATTTTCGTCTGACGACGGGTTAGTGTAACCGACTTGAAAATTCACGAGTATACCTCGATTTTCCGACGAGCCATCTCATTTTATTATATCGCCTCGGAATGCGCACTACCTCCATTATACATATATATATATATATATGCATGTCAAGTGGGCGTTTGACTCTCACTGTTGTGGCTAGGATCTCACTCGATCCCATTCTGTCCGCCCGCCAGCTTGCTACTGGCGACAACGAACGCTGTGTCAGAGGACATATACCACATATAATACATGAGCAGCTCGCTAAGAGTGCAACAGGCCAGACGCAGACAGCTGTTTCACGGTCGTTACCGATCATCAGTACGTCATATGCCTTATGAAGTGAGGTATATAAGCATGTCAAGTGGGCGTTTGACTCTCACTGTTGTGGTTAGGATCTCACTCGATCCCATTCTGCCTGTTGCACTCTTAGCGAGCCGCTCATGTATTATGTGTGGCATGTGTCCTCTGACACAGCGTTCGTTGTCGCCAGAAGCAAGCTGGCGGGCGGACAGAATGGGATCGATTGAGATCCTAGCCACAACAGTGAGAGTCAAACGCCCACTCTACATGCTTATATACCTTACTTCATAACGCCTATGACGTACTGATGATCGG